TTCAGTTTACAAATCGAAATAGTCTCAATATTCGCCCCCTCAGCGTTTTCAGTTTTGGGACTGCGACAGTCGCACTTTGACACAAATTCTCCTAACGGATTAACCCTTTTGCCGGTAGCCTATTTATATCCGCTTGACAAGCAAAATGATTTGTGTAAGATGTTTGCCTGTAAGCTCATGCCTATATTATGCATCGGTTTGTCTCACTCTGATTACACTATCAGCCTCCGTCCCCCGGGTGAGTAGTCGATATTGTTCTTGTGCTTAAGTAACGGGGAACAGCGACTCTATTTTTAAAAACAGGAAAAAATGTGTCCGGGGAACAGCGACTGCCCTAAGCGAATACCTCGTCGTGATGGTATTGATGATGGTATCGATACACCAGCGGCCCCACTAAAAGATTTTTAAATAAACATTTAAAACTATGTCTAATCGTAAAAATAATATCAAATTCGGAACCAGCGTGTCCAAATTAATAAAATAAATCGCGGTTGACCGTTTTTCTTGCTGGATTTAGAAGATCACAACAATGGTCAATTAGTGGTGGAAAAAGTCAGAGAGACAAACAAAAACATGAGAGGGAGAGTATAGATGCAAGACATACCAGTGGCGCCTTCCAACTAACCGCAGGAATAGTTGATTTCCACCAAACTGTTCAACTTAATGATATTGGTAGCATTGCGGTGCTTCTAAATGTTTACTTTGGAAAACACGAACAATCTTCAGCATCTGCATATTGTTAGAATGAACAGAGAACAGCTGCTAGAGTGTACTAAGAGGAGGAAAAGGGAGTGGGAGTGGGTAGGGGGGGGGGTTCGGGAGAGGGGTATGCTAAGGAACAATAAGGAGGGTGGATGGGGGCGGGGGAGCGGGGGGATCGAGGGGGGTCATATTATGTCTTGTATTTTTGGGCAGATATCTTATGTTTGGGTGGGGTGGGGTGGTGGTGGTAGGGGTGGGTGGGAGAGGGGAGGGATAATTAAGTACTAAACAACTCAACTTAAAAGTTAGTTTTCTGAGCTCTAATTATTGAAAATCGAGACAATATTATGTAACGTATCTCTACCACCTGTATTCGACACTGTAAGCAACTACAGGGAATTAACCGGTAACAAAAAATGTTGATATTAATAATAATAATAGCAATGATAATAACAATAGTAACTATTATAGTAATATGGTTCAATACTCGCCGCCGTTCCCCAGCCCAAACTCTTTGACCTATTTGTGCTGCAAGTACCATAAACCTCTGACTAAAACTGAGCAATTCCAGAGCATAAATTGAGAACAAATTAATGTAAATCGCTCTTTTCAAATCTCAGGTCTTTGCATGCGAGTCTAAAAGTTAGATGACCAAAGGAATCTAGTAGCCCATTAGTGAAACTCACTGAAAAGTAAAGTTCCCATAGCCTTAAGTAAGTCAAAACTAACTAACTAACTAACTAACTAACTAACTAACTAACTAACTAACTAACTAACCCACTCACTCACTCACTAAGTAACTAACTAAATTAAATATAAATAGATCTTAAGCAGGGGTTTTATAGCACAGACCTAAAACATACAAGTTGAACCTTAATTCAGAAACACCACACTTTTAAACATGTTTAGGAAACACGGTCTAAGAGATGGGTGGGTACTTTTCTTCGAGACTCACGTGAAAATGTCTAGATCTAGACAGTCTTGAAAGTTAACAAAAAATTAAAGGAAATCTACGAGCTCACACTGAAATGTGTGAACAGAGCGGTGTCGCTGCTCAAAATGAGTAATTTATAAACTGGGTTTCTGTAAATTATTTATTGTAGTGGTGTTGTGCACTCACCCAGTTGGAAAAGTATAAAATTAAGATGAATTTTTTTTCTCTTCTTGTTGTAGTTGTTTATTTTTTAAGTTACTGGAACAAGATTGTCTAAAAAACACACCATGATTTTGTTTGGATTCTGGCCTACAGAACTGCCATGAAAAGTTACTTGCACGTTGGTAAATCAATAAATGAGCTGGATTTTTTAATACTCTGGCCGACGAATGTGAACGTCTGTCATTAGCAAATGCTTTCAACTGACTGCGTTTAGGTCTGTTTCTTTAGTAGCTTTTTAAGCTGCTTAGATAGAGTTTTCCTCCGTTCCAGGTTCTTTTGGAGCACACTTAAACATCTGTTTCCAATGAGCGAGTGAAAGAGAGAGAGAGAAAAAAAAAATATATATATTATATAAATATATAAATATATATAT